CGAGGATAACCATATCCTCCACTTTGATTGTTTCCTCCCTGGGTTTGATTACCCCAACCTCCACCTTGAGTTCCTCCCTGAGTATTATTTGATCCACATTGAGTATTTCCTCCTTCGGTAGGTCCTATCAGGATCTTACACCCTTGTCCGCATAGAATGGTTGGTCCCTGATTATTACCCCATCCTCCATTTTGATCGTTTCCTCCCTGATTATTTCCCCAATATCCTCCTTGATTGGCCATTATTTCACTCAGAGAGACCTGAGAACTTCGCTAGAATGTTTTTGTGAAATATTTTTGTGTCTCTCAACTTATGTGCTAATCAAAGAATTGTGAAGCCTTATATAGGCATATAGCAAATGAAGTATGACTTCAAATATTGTTATATTATTCATTGCTGATTAGATAACAGGTGTATAAGGTATAGTTAATTATTTTAGATAGACCAAGACCTTACCAAGGTCAACATTAAAATACATGACTTTGGAAATTAATCGTAAATTTATATATTGATCTTCTTCTTAAATATTGATTCATTGTTACAGCATATATATATTGTTACAGCATTATATATATATATATATATATATAATTATATATATATATATATATATATATATATATATATTATATATATATATATATAACCTGAATTTATATATATATACCTGAATTTTATTTTTCACATCTTTAAAAATTAATTTAAATCGAGAAAATTCAGTTTTGAATCCGATGCGTGGACGTAGAAATTGGTATAACACTAGAAGAAAATTGAAAACTAGACACGGAAACATCCGTTTCTAAATGAGGAAAAGCCGTTGCTAAATGAGGCAAAACCGTTGCAAGATTAGACTCAGAAAAATGAATCGGGCCGAGCTCATGATCCAATTGTCATGCTAGCCTTTATTTGAGAACTTTTTAATAATTATTTTGGAATATTATATAATTAAAAAATTATTCGTACTATTATTATTTAAGAGAGCGTTTGGTTCAACTGATTTATACTGTTGATGGTTGTTTGGTATCCAATGGATACTATTTCGTATCCAATAGTTGGTAAGTTGTTCTAATTTTGGTTTTTAAGATCAAGGGTAATTTTACTAAATTACAGTTGATTTTATTATAATTTAGGAGAATTAATAATTTTCTTAATACCCATGTAAAAACGTTGAACGATTTATATTCTGGGAGAGATGGACTAGTAAATAATAAACATGGCAAAGTAATCACTTTGGTCGATAGCCACCAACAAAATTGGCCGAGTCAATTAGGACAAAAAAATATAGAGAAAGACGGAGAAAATGTTTAATAAAAAGACTTTGTTAATGATTAAAAAAAAGACTTCATTAAGTTAACCTTTGCAGAAAATAAAAATTAGATGATATATTTGTGTTAATGATTAAAAAAAGACTTTGTTAATGATTGGGATAAGTAGATCGAGGAAGTCCAATTTTTCATGAAGTGCGTGAAATATTTGTGTTTGACTTTTTATTGATTCTATTCATTGAAAAG